AATACTAAATAAAGCATAAATTATACACTTTTGTGATGTAAGTGACCAAAGATAGACCCTTTTAAAGGTTTGCAATATGATGAACGTTACCGTTGTTAGTTTTGAAGTGCGCAATTAAAAATTATCATATTAGGTTGGGGAAAACTCTTTTCGCAAATATTATGTATGTACTTATAATATAATCTCTTTGGCTATACCATTTCTATCTGGCTGGTTTTGGTATCATTAAAAAGTTTAAATTTTAAAAAAGATAATTCCAAATTCAAATTAGGAAAATGTGTGATTTTCATTTATTTTTATTACTATTAAGATGAGTGATTCTAATGAAGAAATTCGATACAATTTAAAATTTAACTACAAAAAAGGTAAAAATGCAATGCAAACCGCGAAAAAAATTTGTGATCCGTAAGAGTAGCACAATTTTGGTTTAAGCGTTTTGAATCCGGAAATTTTTATGTCAAAGGTGCACCTCCCTCTGGGCGCCCTGTTACGGATGGAAAATGGATGCCATTTTTGAAAAAGTGGAGCAAGATCGGCATATCAGTAGTTTCTATGTAGCTGAAGAACTGGGAATTGACCACAAAACAGTTTTGGCGCATTTGAAAAAAGCTGGGTACACTAAAAAGCTCGATATTTGGGTGCCTCTTGAGCTCACTGAAAGAAACCTAATGTACCGTGTACTCATTTGTGATTCTTTATTACGACGTAATGAAACTGAACTATTTTTGAAAAACTTGATAACTGGTGATGAAAATTGGATCACGTACGACAAGATCGTGCGAAAAAGATCGTGGTCAAAGGCTGGTCAGCCTTCACAGACTCTGCCGAAACCCGGATTATCTCGCAACAAAGTAATGCTGTGTGTATGGTGGGATTGGAATGGGAAGAGCATTATACTATATATGTCTATCATGAGCTGTTACCGCCAGGCAGGACCATCGATTCTGAACTCTACTACGAACAACTGATGAGATTAATGCAAGAAGTTGAGAGAAAGCGGCCGAAATTAATCAACAGAAGGGGAGTGGTTTTTCATCATGATAACGCTCCGTCAGTCAAGAATTAACTTTTTGGACATTCTACGGTAGTTACAACGAAACCGATTATTTTATGTTTCATATTATATACGAATTTAAATTTTCAATTGAAGAACTTTAACCCCGTCTCATCACATTTCGTTTAAACGCTTCTTTGAATCCCATTTAAAATACATAAAAGAAACGTTCCAACACTTTCAAAAGGTGTTTTTTAATAACGCTTTAACACACTTTGTATTACGTGGTTGAAACTTTTAAAATAATCATCACCTACACCATAAAATATATGGCACATAGTAGTATTTCCAAGTTAGATATAGTAAAAGGAATATAACATATTTAAGAATATTAAAGGAAACATTTATATTTATTCATTTTATTACTTATATGTGAAAAAAATCTTTAGTATTTTAATGTTTAATGTTTATCTTTAATTAAATGAACGAATGTTATACTTATTAAAATACAATTATAATATTCAAGCGCGGCAAATACTCCAGTGCTTAATATATTAACTGCAATAACATGAATCATAAAGCCTTAATCACATTTTTAATTCCTGCTACTTGTAAGGAACTCCATGATGGTATAGGTTTAGTTGTGAGATGTGTCATTTCTGAGTTCTAAATAATCACCGTGCAATTAACGCTCGCGATCAACGTCATTTTTACGGGAATTGTCCCGGGAAATCCAGAGTTGTAAGACCAGCATGAAAGACCCTGGCCTTGACATTTAGTGTCATACAACCGTTGGCAGAAAACAGAATCTAGGTTTTGCAATGTGATAATTATGACACAATTGTCATGAAGTAGCTACTAAGACGTGTATTAAATGAACATTGGTAAGAGACTAAATATATCATGATCTATGTATACGGTGAGGTTTTCCTAAGTGTATCAATTTTTTAAAATTAAATTCTAGACATAAATAATGTTATATAAAAAATGAAAAATATTCAAAATCACTCGTAATTAATTAATTACATTCATTTGAACTTATCTCAGAAAGTGCGTGATTTATGGGCAACTCATTAATTTTACGCGCGATTATTCGTAACTAACACGCATACAACTTCGTTTCAAAAGTATACGACGCATTTATGAATGACTACCGCATTGTCAACAAGTTCTGTTTTTTTAGGTTATAGTATAAAAAAAGGCGTTGGCTCTCAATTAGTATACCTTACGTGGAATTTAAAGAAAAAATAATTTATCGGATATACCGGAAGAACGTGTAAGGATATTTAAGTTAAGCAAGTTTAATTTGACGTCATTATTCAATTACACGGTTCATGTCTAACAATATATTATGTGTAATATATATAATACATTCTATTGAATGATTCAAACCGCCATTGTGTCATGGTCATAAGTTTTATCATATAGTGAAAACTTTTGAATTTTGAATGCTGGCTATAATAATATTTATTGAATTCGAAATTCGAATGCTTTATGAAAATAAAAATGATTTGCGGGTATTACGTTGCATCGGTGCGGTTCCGCGCTAAATCCTATTTTCAAACTTCTGAAAAATAAGAATGTAAACAAAAGATTCGTTTATCGCTCCATCGAATCACATTATTAAAATTCAATTGTTTACTTGAAGATGACTCTGTGGCGTAGTTATCAAGATATTAGCTTCCGGGGGCTAGTCGGATTCGATACCCACAAGGGACAACTTTTTGTGTGAAACCTGTGACTGAAAGATCCCGCGACTCCGCTGTCTGTCTGTGTCACCAAGTTGAAATTTTCACAGATGATGTATTTCTGATGCAAATTATATCGTTATAATGTCGTTATAACAACAAATACTAAAAATATAATGAAAAAGTATTTATCTCCATACAATTAGATATGATTTTTTGGCCGTTTTTATAGGTAATGCTACGGAACTCCGAACATACGACTCACACTTGCCGGTTTTTATAGACAATAGTACGGAACACTTCGTGCGCGAGACCGACTCGCGCCTAGCCGATTTATTGATGAAAATATTTTTTACCGTGGATGAGCGCTACAATAAACAAAACGACTGGGCTTACTAAAATTGCTTATAGGGTTGTTTTTTGTGTAATGTTTATTAAAATACACTCCCTAAAAACCTTGTGGAAACCCTTTCACATACCATGTTCAATAACAGACGCTGGGTATTCCAGCAAGACTGCGACATAGAGCGAAAAGCACGCAAAACTGGCTGCCGGCGGGTGAAATTGACTTTATTCGACACGAAGACTGGCCCTCTAGCAGTCGATACTTATATCCGTTGGCATGTAAAATATGGCAACACTTGGAGGAAAAGGCCTGCTCAAAGTCTCATCCTGATTTGAAGTCCTTGATCAAAGCAGCCACCGAAATTGATACGGACTTGGTTCATGCTGCTATAGATGATTAGCCACGTATTTTGAAGGCTTGTATTCAAAATCGCTTGGGTCATTTTCTAATAAGTTCCTTATGATTTAAAAATTTTACTGTACAAACACACATGAGTCAATTATTTACAGAACATAAATAGAACTTATAACCCGACTAGGTACGTATTATCTATAATAAAGGACATAGCCTGTAATATTGTTTATATTTGAAAGAGTCGCGACTATTGTAATATCCTAAAAAGCTCCCAAAAGCCCCATTGTCAACACTCTCTTAACAGGAAATATAAATATTCTTTTAAGAGGTATAAGCTTCCATAAAAATACATAAGAAATAAACCGCTATTCTTATTAATGTACGTAAAATGTAACATAAATGGGATTCTCTGAAATGTTATTTCCTCAATATCGAGATTTATTGTGATGTTATGGTTACCCTTTTTATGGTTAATTTTATTTCTAGTCCACACAAAGATTTTTTTATGTGAGAAGGTGGCAAGTGAGCTGTGAGTTCTCCCGATATTGAGTAATAACCACCAGCCACTGACACTACCAACGCCCTTAGGATTCCCAATGCGTTGCAATCTTTCATAAAGTGTGGCACTTCACGCCGGTCTTTTTCGAGGTCGAGGTACTTCCCCGGATGGACTTATTCATTTGTGGAACACGATAGAGTGCTACGTCCATACCTCGTAGTTAAAACGTGAATTTTCGTAGAAAAATTGACGAATAATTCGGCCCTGAGGGATTTGAACCGGCGTCTTAGCTAATCGGCTGATGACCTCACGGCGCTAAATTTAATGGAATTGAAATTTTTCGTTTAAAAATTCTACGAAAAATTCATATTTTAATTGATTTATCTACTAATTCAAAATTTCTTAGAGATTATATGGGTATAAGGAATACATAGCGTCAGTGGCGGATTAAGCCCTTCAGAGGCCCGGGGCGGCAAAGCTGAATGAGCAGTGGCGTAGCTTGCCTTAGGCTGGCCCTGTATCAAAATGTGTCGGGAGACCCAAAAGAAAAGTAAAGATGTTTTATGAAAGAAACAAAAAGTTTTGATTTGAATTATTATACAATTTTTTCGCCTATCTTTCGACAAACTTATTTATTAAATCATCCATAGCGAGGACGATTTCATTTTGCCTCTAATAAACAAAAGTGACATGTCTGATAGTTGTTCCGGTCCTACAGAATACCTAAGATCAATTTTAAACAGTTTAACCACGTATCAAGGGTAGCAATTGCTACCCTTGTACTTAATTTAGTTTAAATTTCGCACTTTGGAGGGTTGGCAGCGCCTTTGTTACCCCACAAGTGGTATACACTTAACATTTGCTTGATTTGACATTATGGGAAATGAGGTGACCTATAAAAGGTTATATCATATAACCATTTATTGGTCAAATTACTTTCACCATCTGTATTAAATACTTATTACAGTAATATTATGTCGGCCTTACGAGTTCTGGAAGTTTTTTTAAGTTGTTACACCTATCTGTTTTTGTTTGAATATCAAGCTCCGGTTAAATGGGAATTCTTGAATAATAAAAATCTTCAATAAAATGAACTGTGTATTTATCGTTGGATCGTTACAATATTGAGAAGGCCGGTGTACGTGCGTTTGCGACCGTGGTAGTGAGCGAGTGTCCGTTGGTGGGGTCGCGATTTCGAGGTGCGCTTGCGATGACCGCTGTTGCTGTGGGATCGGTCCAGCAGCCAATGGCAACGCCGAACCGCGATGACGAGAACGTGACGTCAGGAACATATTCCCCGGGTTGTAGTACGAAGGCTTCAAGATGATGTAGAAGTAGAGACTGGAAGAGGACAAATATTATTGTATGCACGTGTGATGGTGCCCTTCGTTGTAACGATGTCAGCCACTCTGCTACGACCATCGGATCCTGGCTTAACAGCAGTGACTCTGCCCATCAGCCAGAGAAGTGGAGGTCGATTTACTTCCTTGACCAGGACCATGGTGCCTATCTTCAGATCTTGACCTGGGGAATTCCACTTCATTCTCTGTTGTAAGAGAGTAATATACTCATTAGTATAACGCTCCCAGAAATGCTGACGGAGTTTTTCGATCCTCTGGTAGCGTTGAAGTCGCTCGATCTTGCCGTCGGGTATTTGAGGATACGGTACTGAGGTGAGCGGCCGTCCAATAAGAAAATGGGAAGGAGATAAGTAAGAAAGGTCAGAAGGATCGGTGGATAGAGGCGTCAGGGGTCTGGAATTTAAAATAGCCTCTACTTGACTTAGACATGTCGAAAGCTCTTCATAAGTTAAGTGACTAAGACCAAGGGTGCGACGTAAAAGATGCTTAGTCGACTTAACCGCAGCCTCCCAAATACCTCCAAAATGGGGCGAGTAAGCCGGTATAAATTTAATGTCGATGCCCTGATTCGCAATATCCGATTCTATCTCACTGGAAGAGACTTTTAAGAAGCGAGCAAGCTCATTGAAAGCTCCTACGAACGTAGTACCATTGTCGGAGTACACGCGCTGTGGCTTACCACGACGAGCGATGAACCGACAAAAGGCGGAAAGAAAAGCTTCCTTTTTTAGGTCGTAAACTAACTCCAGATGAACTGCTTTGACTGCAAAGCACACAAAAACACAGATGTAAAATTTTAATAGCTTACACCCTCTACCTTTGCGGTCAGCTATCAGCACTGGCCCCGCGTAATCTAAGCCTGTGTTTAAAAATGGGAACTCAAGTTGTGTCCTATCGTTAGGTAAGTTACCCATGATGACTTGCATAGGTTGAGCTTTTATGCGCGTACATCGAATACAGTTACGTACAGTTTGCTTAGCTAAGTTTCTGCCACCAAGAGGCCAATACGTAAGCTTCACGTTTGCCAAAAGTAATTGGGGCCCTGCGTGTAAAAGAGATAAGTGTAAAGTTTAAAAAATAATTTTAGTTAAATGATGTTTACTACAGAGTAATATGGGATGCTTAACATCGTAAGTATAATTAGAGTTCTGAAGACGTCCGCCGACACGTAATATATTGTTTGAATCAATGAAAGGAGAAAGGCTTATAAGTCGATTCTTATTATTTAAAATTTGTTTCGATTTAAGGCAAATATATTCATTAGGAAACATTTCTTTTTGAGCAATTGTAAAATTAAATTTTTTGAACATTGCAATTCCGAAAAGGTTAAGTAAGAAGACAGTTTATCATATTTAAATCTGCAATTATAAATGAATCTTTTAACGTAAGCTAATGTTCTAATAAGTTTAGTAAATGATGATAATTTGTGAATCAACTGCGAAATAGAATTATTACAGTTACTCGTTTCATTATTTTTAACAGAGGTATGCAAGGAAGTTTCGGGTAAAGTAATATTATGAGTATTAGGGGATGCGGGAAAAATAATAGTAGGATTGTTAAGAAATTCTGGTCCCGACCACCAAAGATCGGATGTGCTGATGATATCAGCCTTCACCCCTCGGGATGCGAGATCAGCGGGATTTAACTTAGATGGCACATAACTCCACGTCTGGCCTATTGTGGCTTCTTGTACCTCACAGACTCTGTTACGGACAAAACTGTTAAGTCGACTCGGTTGCGTAGAGAGCCAACCAAGCACAATGGTTGAATCACACCAGAAATAGAATTTATTAAAACATAAGGTGAGTGACTTACGCACCTTAAGAAACAATCTCGTTCCCAACAAGGCGCCACACAACCTTAAACGGGGTATAGTTGTTGGCTTTATTGGAGCAATTTTATTTTTTGAGGCTAAAAGGCGAATACAAACCGTTCCATCTTCGGCGACAGACCGAAAATAGATACACGCGCCATAAGTGCGTTCAGACGCATCTGTAAAAGTGTTAAGTTCAATTAAGACCGGGCTCACACAAGAGACCCAGCGGGGAATTCGAATGGAATTAAGATGTGGAAGTAATGTGAAGAATTGAATAAACGATGTTTTTATTTCAGCGGAAATATCATCCCAATTACATTTCTGCATCCAAAGATGTTGAAGTAGAATTTTAGCTTGCACAATGCATGGTTCAACAAGACCAAAGGATTCAAAAACCTGGCTAACTATGGATAAAATAATACGTTTTGTTATTTTATTTGAAGTAATAGATTGACTGGAAAAAAAGAGTATTTCTAAATTAGGGTCTCAGAATAAGCCAAGTGTTTTACAAGGCGATGAATCATTAAGGTTAAGAGCTTCTTCTGAGCGCTGTTTAAAAGAAGAGTCGCGTTCAAATCTACGCTCCAGTGAAAGAAAGCGCTTCGCCGTGACATAAGAGTCACCTAGACTTTGAGGTAGGTCCTTTAATGGTTTGGTGACAACGAAATGACCACTTAAAGATTTTTTCGCACATCTGTTCTTCTAAGGAAAGATTATGCTCGTTCGAAACGGAATCTAACTCCCAAAAGCGAGTTAGCTGTTCAGATTCTTTGTGAGAAATAAAATGATATTGGGAAGGCTGACTAAGATAAGGTGACTGATAAACACAGCCTGAAAGAAGCCAACCCAATTTTGAAGAATGAAGCTTAGGTTTGTTACTAAGTTTATGTGTTTGGAACCTAGTACGGCCCAAAAGACTTCGGTGCCCACGAGAATGTCGACCGCCGAAGGTATATTAAAGGTAGGGTCCGCTAATTGAAGACCTAGCGGTATAGATATTTGATGGATATCTATATAAGAGCTAGGCAGCGAATTAGTGATTTTAGGTAATATAAAACAGTTAAGGCTTGCCTTGTAATCACCAAAACAAGACTGAATATTTAATTTACAAGTCTGTGAAGTACTAGAAATTTGACCGTTAATACCTGTAACTGTGGAGCTAGTGTTGCATCTTACCAAACCGAGCTTTTCACAGAGGTCATCGGTGATAAAGTTTGATGTACTACCGTTATCCAATAGGAGTCTAGCAGTGTGAAGGCCTCAGTTGATGTTTGATACCTTTGCCAATGCTGTGGAAAGCAATACAAGATCCTGGTTATTATCGGAAGGTTTTGGTGAGGAGGAAACAATGTTGGAAGAAAGTACTATATTGTCTACTTTTGGTTGCATGTCTGATATTTCTCTGTGCAACAAGGTGTTATGTTTAAATTTGCAATATTTGCAATGAGAAAGACTGCAACGCTGTGATGTATGGCCTGGTCGAAGGCAATTTGTAGAGACTTTGCTTTCAGACACTTTTTAATGCGCGATTCAACATCAAGGTCTCTAAAAGAGGAGCAGTTAAACAAAAAGTGGTCTTTAGAGCACATAGGGCACGTTATTTTCTTAGTTTTGTGTAGTTGTGTAAAAATTCTTAGATTTTGGTGTATTGTTCGAAGATGATGAAGAAGGCGTGAAAGAAATATTTTTATTGTTGTCTAATGTTTCAAGAAAGTCTGCTCTATTCGACAATAATTTAATAAATTGTTCTAAATTGGGTAACGCAAATAAATTATTTTTAAATTCTTCCCATTGCCGACTAGTTACAGAGTCCAATTTTCTGGACATTATGAATATATGTTAAGTGTCATTATGAATAAGTGTATCCCAGTGGTGGGTTGGTTGCCCAAGTGTATTAAGCGCCCTTAAGTTTTTATTTGTTACGTCAACCATGTTACGCAATAACTCACTACACTCTTTTTGCATTTTTGAAAATGTAAAAAGGGCCTGCAAATGATTATTTACTAGCAGCTTTTCATTGTCGTATCTCTCACACAATAACTGCCAAGCTATGGAGTAATTAGTAGATTTGAAATCAATACTTTTTATAATCAATGAAGCACTGCCTGTTAATGCAGCGCGGAGATAGTGAAATTTGTTAATCTCTTGTATGCTGTTATTATTGTGAATAAGAGAAAGATACGTATCTCTGAATTCGAGCCAGTGCTGATAGTCACCGTCAAAGTGAGGCAAGTCTATCTTTGGAAGCCTCACAAAGTCGTGCTTACAGACAGAGCCGACCGTCTGGGTACCGTCGTCACTGAGGCCGGCGGTAGGTGCCGAGGCAGATGTAAGCTGCGAAAGCTGCGCACGGGCACGGGATACCTGCGCGTAGTATTGTGTTTCGAACTGCTCACGCTCAGAATACGCCGCGTCTGGGTCCTCCGACAATACTTCTAACTCGGTCTGAAACACGTTGAATTCACCATAAAGCAATTCTATCTTGGGAACTCTAATTCAGATAGCTGAGAAGGGCTTAAGCTGGTGCAAGGCTGAATTAAATTTAAATAAGTAGCAAATTGAGTAAGCTTTGCTTTTAAGCTTCCACGCTTTCTTACAAGTTCTTTTAATTTTGCGTCAGACATAGCGGTATTGAAAAAAAAATATGTAGGTACACGAAAAATAGAAAAAAATATAAAACGGTTGCATGCGCAGCAAGTAGCAAAGCTAGCAAGAAGGCAAATAAAATTGAAAGCTGCTAAAACAAGCTCGCACTATAAGATAATATAAAGGAATATTAAAATTCAAAAAATACGGGTTTGAGGCTATACAATTGAATAAAGAAAGACTTAAGAAGAAAAAAAGCAATATGAATACAATGACTAAGCAGAAAAAAAAACTAGGTTACGTTAATAAATTATGAAGAAGCAATCGTTAAATCATATAGCACTATTTTAGTTTCCTGGAGAAATAAAATTATTAAGAAAGGCAGGAAATATAAGGATTGGAACGGACTCACTCAGAATATGTTTTTGACCGCCCTTTAAATGTCCTCTATAAGTTCTTCAAATGTCCGGCGGGCGGTATTGTCCAAAGTCCACGGGCAAATTGCACAGTAAATAAGACGGCTTTCTCTTTAAAACTCGAAGGACCAATGTTTGAATATCAAGCTCCGGTTAAATGGGAATTCTTGAATAATAAAAATCTTCAATAAAATGAACTGTGTATTTATCGTTGGATCGTTACAATATTGAGAAGGCCGGTGTACGTGCGTTTGCGACCGTGGTAGTGAGCGGGTGTCCGTTGGTGGGGTCGCGATTTCGAGGTGCGCTTGTGATGACCGCTGTTGCTGTGGGATCGGTCCAGCAGCCAGGTCCGCGATGACGG